GGATCTTCGACCAATTGGTTTAAGTAACGTTCTTTATAAAATCATTACAAAAATCTTAACCAAGACCATCCTCCCAAATCTGATTTCTTCAGTTCAGAGTGCTCACACCGGGAAGAAATATAGCAGGCAATACTATTATCACTCAAGAAGTAATTCACTCAATGAGGAAACTAAAGGATCATAATGGATATTTCTTACTTAAACTCGACCTCTCAAAGGCCTATGACAAGATGGAATGGTCTTTCTTGTTGAATGTTCTCCATCACTATGGTTTCTCTGATGAATTTTGCAATTTGATTCACTATTGCTTATCTACTGCAAACTTCTTAGTTCTTTATAATGGAAAGCCGGGTGATTCATTCCCCTCTACGAAAGGTTTGAGATAGGGGTGTCCTTTATCACCCTATTTATCCATAATTTGCACTGAGATTCTTTCTTGCTTGTTGGAAAAGAAGATGCAGCAAGGGTTGATTCATGGTTTCAAATTTGGAAACTCTGGTGTTCGACTCTCGCACCTTATGTTTGCAGATGACCTAATTATTTTTGGCAGATGTAACAACAAAAAAGTATCTCACATTCTACAAGTCTTGCATCTATTCTGTATGTAATTGGTCAAGTTAAGAAATTAATTTTCAAAAGTCATCAATTTTTTTCAGCTCCAATACCCAGTGCTGAGTCAAAATCAAAATAGCACACCTTTTTGGAGTCAAATTCATGAATCCAATAGAGAGATACATGGGTGGTCCTCTATTCCTAGGCCACTCGAAGACTCAAGAATGGCAATATCTGGTTGATAGACTTAAATCAAGACTATTCGGGTGGAAGAAGCAAACATTGCCACACATGGGCAGAACTGTTCTTATCAAATCCGCCCTTCAATCCATGCCACAGTACATAATGCAAAATTATCTCCTTACAAAAACCATTTGTACAGCCTTGAACAATGTGTGTACGAATTTTTGGTGGACAGATTCTGACAAATCCAGTCTTCACCTAAAACCTGGGATATTTTTCTTTCACCTAAGGATCTTGGGGGTCTGGGAATCCGAGATGCTGTGCTTAAAAATCAAGCTATGATTATTAAACTAGGATGGAGATTCCTCACTTCAACTGATTCACTTTGGGCTCGAGTCCTTCATGTCAAATATCTAAGAAGTACTTCCTTTTGGTGTTCCAAGCAAAAATCCAATAACTCCTATATTTGATGGCATTCTTAAATGCAAGGAATTCCTAGAAAAGGGTTGTCAATGGGTTATTGACGATGGTTGGGCTGTTGATGCAATGAATGACCCATGGTTACCATTCAAACCACAATGCTAGAACTCAGAATCTCCCACGAGTAAGATAAGAGTTGCGGAACTCATTAACCAAGATACTATGACATGGCGAAGGGAGGTAATTAATAATTTATTTGATACCCACACAACACAGGAAATATGTGCAATTCATCTTCCAATCTCAGCCTCAGATTTGTAGGACAAACTCATCTGGAAATTCACTCCCCATGGTCGGTATACTACGGCTTCTGGATACCTTCTATTAGCATCTTCCTGGGCCTTTTGTTCTCGAGCACATATTATTTCTAATAAGTTCACATGGCGAGACTTCTGGAAACTGAAGGGTATTCCACCAAAATTTCATATATTCATTTGGCGCACCCCATTCATAATATGCTCCCCACTAGAACTCGGCTGAGAAAAATTTTCAAACACATTGAAGCGCTTTGTCCTTTTTGTAATGAAACAGTGGATCGATCGCATATTCCTGTACTGCCCTTTTGCGTCAGTGGTGTGGTTTGGATCTAGTCTGAGACTCCATATATCTATCTAACTATCTCAACAAAACTTTTTCAGACTGGATTTCTGTTTGGAGCCACTTGAATGTCAGTGAAGATTCAGCAAATAACATGATTTGGAGATGCATCTCAATTGTATGGACCATCTGGAAGGCTCGGAATGATTTAATTTTTAACCAAAACAAATGGAGCCCTGAAATGATTATCAACAAAGAAAACTCACTCTTCCTAAGCCAGAGTCTACCTATTTTGCAGAATTCTGATGCAAACCCTCAAATTGCATCTTCCCGATCTGTTCAAAACCATTGGGTAAAGCCACGTTAGGGATTCCTAAAACTTAATTTTGATGGGGCCAAATCAAATTCTAAGTCGGGGTATTGGTCTGATTGTTCGGGATGATAAAGGAGAAGTTGTGGTGGCTTGGGCTATTCCTATTGTGGCCAATTCGACATCAACCACTAAAGCCTTAGCACTCTTTGAAGGCATCAAACTAGCTTTGCAACTAGATCTTCATTCTATTGTTTTTGATGATGCAAAAATTCTAATTAATTCTTTGTTGGAGGTCAGCCCAAAACCTCCTTGGAGCCTTCTTGTGTTCAGTTACATTCACTCACTGGCAAAGTTTGCGATGTCTTGCTCTTCACCCAAAACTTGGTCTTCAGTTCCAAATTTTTTGAAAAATATTTGCATTTCAGATGGAACTGATAGTTTCTTTGAATGACTATCTACTCGCTTAAATAGGGCAAACCCTGCAACACCAAGGGTTTCATGTATTTTCAAATTAACCTATTCAAGGGGTTGGTATAAGGATTGTGTACCCCCTTAAATAGGGGAAGCCCTAGAACACCAAGGGTCTTGTTTATTAGTGACCCACACGATATACATCGCCTGATACACTATGAAATTTTGATGCTTAGACCAATCTCCAATATCACTAATTGGCTCCCAAGCATATTAGATTGAAATTTTTCCACCTGCCCCTCTCCATTTTATGTAATCACTGTTATATTGCCATCTATTTGACATGATCGAGAATTGAAAGAGCTAATTCAAATCTCCATTAACCATTTGGTTGAAGAACTTGGTTTAACTTGAAGTCTTGAATATTTTGATCTTTTGATTCATTTATAATAGCGTTAAACCCAACTAATTATCAAACCAAAAAAAAAAAAAAAAGAAACATTACCTAACTCATATAACCCATTAGCAATGCTTGAGGACAATATTTTTTAGGTCCATTTGTTTTTCAAAAGGCCACTACTGAGATTAGCACTTACCCAGGTAAATGCTTCTTGTTTCATGGGAAACACTTACATGGGTAAGTTCACTTATCCATGTTCTTTTAATTCCAATATAAGTTATATAATAACAATTTTACCCATAAAAAGCAATGTTAAAATGACAAACTTGTTCCATTATGTTTTGTAAACTTTCCTCCCAAAGAAACCAAATTTACCATAGGCAAGGGTCAAAGTATCGGAAAGGCAATTTTAAGAGATGTATATACACATGTGTATCGGAGAAAAACTAAGATATGCATAGATACGGTTGGAAATACAATAAATACTTTAATAAATCATAAAAATGCATCAATAACACCTCAATGAGGTGTATATACATTAAATTAATATATTCTAATGGTTTTATGAAGAAATATATTGTAGTTAATTATAATTTCATTAAAAACCCCATTCTTAACTATAATTTATAAATTATAATTCTTAAGTTTTAATGTTTTATGGAATGGGAAAACCCAACTCTCCTATCCAACCATAAAACATGCATTGTCACAACTTTTTAGTGAAAACATAATTAATAATTATTTATTATTTAAATAGTTTTTATTTATTATTTATTTCCATAAATTATAAAAAATAAATAAACATTATATAATATATTCAAAAAATAGTTATTAAAGAAGAAATTTCAATTGCTTCTTGGATATGATAGATGATCCATATAATTATAATTATTCAATCATTTTGATCAAATGATAAAATATAATTAATTATTTATTTATTTTTCAATTATAAAAATATAAAAATAAAAATAATTATTAAAGAAGAAATTTCAATTAGTTTGTGGATATGATAGAACATCCATAGAATTATAATATATTCAATTGTTGTGATCAATTGATAAAATTATAATTAATTATTATTTATTTTTTTAATTCTAAAAATATAAAAATAAAAAATATTAAAGAAGAAATTTCAATTGCTCTATCAATATGATAGATAAATCCATAGATCTAAAACATATTTAGTCTGTATAGGCAGAGAAAAAATTACATTTTCAAATTGTTTGTTAATTTATATTTCCCCAATTATCTTCCTGAATTTTCCATAAATCTACTGATAACACAAAAAATTGTGATTTTTAATGTAAGAAATGTAGTTTAACATAAATTTAAACATTTAGAAAAAAAAGAAATTGCACATTTAAAAAAAAATAAGGCTTTAAAAAAGAAATGCAGTTTAACTTTCCCCATCTATTTCCCAAAAAAACAAAGAAAACAAGGCTTTAAAAATAACATCTCTTTCTATATTTATTCTAGTACATTTCTTTGGAATAGTCACTTGAGCCAATTGCACATTTTTAACATACATTGAAAAAATGAAATTGGCCCAAATATTATTTGGTTGTAATAGTCTTCCTTTAATTTGAAGGCTTTTGTCTCAAAGCATTCTGATGCCAAGAGTACAAGACCACCTTCATAAATATGTTTACAAATTCTACCCTCGCTTACCATTGCATTTTGTTCCCAAGTTCTAAAGCACTCCACATAGATCTAACAAAGAGTTGCTAAATAAAAATTCCAAAGCATCAAATATACTATGGATGGTAGGATGATGGATGAAAATTAATACATGTAATTCAATACATTGATCATATATGAAATAAGTTTTTGGTCAAAATTCATAAATCTGTATATAATAATACCATTGGATAGGAGCAGATCTGGTATAGTAATCTGTGCATCAAATATAATCCCCTTATTCTAAATCCATCAGACCCACCACCCCAATAAAATAAGTAATTTGTAAATAAAAATAATAATTATATTGGGCCAAACGGTCAAACCCAGCCATCGCTTGCCCTTCTCCATTTCTCGTTTTCACATAAAATAAATAAATAAATAAAGAAAATAACACTCTTCTCCAGTTCTCCTTCATAACTTCATTCTCTTTCCTTTCCTCCCCCAGGGCCCGTTTGGTTGCCGAAAAGCAAATGAGAAAAGGGTAAGTAAATACTCCCTTTTGATTCGTTTCTCGTTTTGTTTTGACTTTTAAGTCATGGGACGAAAAACCTAAGGATGCGGTTGCTCAAAACCAGGAATGCAGGGTCTCACCAAAACCATGCGACCCCGGTGAGAAACGAAATTTTCATGTTTTTCTTTTCTCTGAACTCCATTAATGGCCGGTGAGAAGACACCACCGACCAGATCGCCATGGATTCCAATGACCACAGCGACGATTGATTGCTGTAAGAGACCTATTTTTGGGTACTTATCTTTTCTCTTCTCTCACTCTCAACAAACATAAGCCGATAAGCGTGGCCCCTCAATGTCCACGTTTGTTGGGCCGCCAAAACCTAAAGGCTCTAGCCCACCAATCGTGGTTTCACCATCGCCGGATCTGCAGAGCAACAACGACAACAGGGGCATCAAAACCTCTTTCGTTATATGATACCGCTACAGGTAACTCATGAATCCATATCGCCGGAAATGGTAAAGCCCCTCAAAACCCAATATCTTATTCATCTCCACAAGCACTGTTCTGCATTGGGTTCTCACCATTTTATCAGGTTTTCATCAGAACCAGACGTTTCTTCCGAATTCCATTTTTCGTCTCCCCCTCGGCAGGATTTCTCCAACTTAGTTTCTAAGGTCTGTGACATCTTACACCAGCTTCAGTGGCAACGCAGCCCTGAAATTAACCGTTTAAGTTCCAAACTGACGCCCCGTCACGTGGCCAGGATTCTGGAAATCCACAAGGACTCGCAATCGGCGCTTCAGTTTTTTTACTGGGTTTCTAAGAGACCTTCTTACAAACATAGTTTGGATTGTTTTGTTATCCTGCTAAATCGTCTTGTTCGTGATAGGCTCTTTGCTCCTGCAGATCATGTAAGGATACTGATGATCAAGACCTGTAGAAATGAGGAAGAGATGGCTAGGGTGATTAATTTTCTTGATGAGATCTGTGTCAAGGGATTTAGGTTTACACTATATACCTATAATACTCTACTGATTCAGTTGGGTAAGCTTGACATGGTTGGAGCTGCCCAAAATGTGTATAAACAGATGCTGAGCAGTGGGATAGAACCTAGTCTTTTAACGCTCAATACAATGATCAATATACTGTGCAAGAAGGGGAAGGTCCAAGAAGCCGAGTTGATTCTGAGTCGGATTTTTCAGTGCGATTTGTCCCCAGATGTTTTCACGTACACGTCTTTGATGCTTGGGCATTGCAGAAACCGTGATATAGATTCTGCTTTTGGGGTTTTTGATCGTATGATTAAAGAAGGTTGTGATCCAAACTCTGTGACATATTCTACTTTGATCAATGCACTCTGCAATGAAGGTAGGTTAGATGAGGCACTAGACCTGCTCGAAGAAATGGTTGAGAGAGGCATTGAACCTACAGACCATACATATACGGTCCCCCTTGCTTCACTGTGCAATGTTGGTCGTGTCAAGGAGGCATGTAACCTGGTGGCTGATATGAGGAGGAGGGGTTGTCGTCCAAATGTACATACTTATACCTCTCTAATCAGTGGATTGTCTCGATTAGGTGCAATTGAGGTGGCAATTGGATTGTTCCACAAGATGTTGATGGATGGATTGACTCCAAATACGGTTACATATAATGCCTTGATAAATGAGTTGTGTATGAGAGGAAGATTTGAATTTGCTCTCAAGATTTTTGATTGGATGGAGAGGCGTGGCTTGCCAAATACCCAAACATACAATGATATTATCAAGGGGTTTTGCTTACTGGGGAAGATTGAGAAGGCAATGGTACTACTTAGTAAAATGCTAAAGGTGGGTCCCTCTCCAACAGTGATAACATATAACATCCTTGTTAATGGATACTGCAAAAAAGGCAACATGAACAATGCAGTGAGGCTATTGGATTTGATAAAAGAGAATGGATTGGAACCAGATGAATGGACTTATACCGAACTTGTCTCGGGCTTCTGCAAGGTAGGCAAGTTGGATTCAGCTTCTAAGTTTTTCAACAAAATGGTTGAACAGGGATTAAGTCCAAACTTGGTCAGTTATAGTGCTTTAATAGATTGCCACTGTAAAGAGGGGAAGGTAGATATTGCCTTGGATTTGATGGAGAAGATGGAGCAAAATGGTTGCTTCCTAAATCTGGAAACCTACAATGCTCTCATCAATGGTTTGTGCAAAGCAAACAAGTTATCCATAGCAGAGAAACTCTGTAATAAGATGGTAGAGCAAGGATTGTCACCAAATGTCATTACATACACGACTTTGATTGATGGGCTATGCAAGAATGGTGGGACAAGCCTTGCATTTAAGGTTGTTGATGAAATGAAAAGGAGGAATTGCCAACCAAATCTTCATACCTACAGTTGTCTTATATATGGGTTATGTCAAGAAGGCAAGGCAGAAGAAGCAGAGATGTTAATTACAGAAATGGAAGGAAAAGGACTGGTTCCTGACAAGGTTACATATACCTCAATAATTGATGGTTTTGTTATGTTGGGTAGGCTAGATCATGCATTCTTGCTTCTGAGGAAGATGATTAATGTTGGTTGCAGACCTAACTATCGGACTTTTGGTGTGTTGATGAAAGGTTTGCAAAAAGAGCATCAGTTTCTTGCAGGGGAGGGTGTGGACATATGCAAAGCAATGAATAGCTGCCACTTAAATGATAAGGATGTTAATACTGAAATATTATGTCGCCTCTTAGTAAGATTGTCAGAATATGATTGTGAGCCTACAATTGATACCTACAGTACTCTAGTAGTTGGTTTATGCAGAGAAGGGAGACCCTTTGGGGCAGATGAGTTGGTTAGAAACATGACAGAGAAGGGTTTACACCCTAATGCAGAAATATGTAATTCTCTATTAGTTTTTTACTGTAAGAATTTGAAAGTGGATGCTGCTTTAGGCATATTAAACACAATGGTAGTTAGAGGTTTTGAGCCTCATTTATTTATTTATAGAGCATTGATCTGTGCTTTATGCAAAGTGAGCAGAACAAATGAAGCTCAATCTTTGTTCGAAGGCATGCTTGAGGGACAATGGAATCCTGATGAGATTGTTTGGACGGTCTTGATTGATGGGTTACTGAAGGAAGGGGAGTCAGAGGTGTGCATGAAGTTTCTCCATATTATGGAATCTAAGAGCTATGCCCTCAATTTTCAGACTTATGTAATCTTGGCTAGGGAAATGTCAAATCAAGACAGCTCTATTGAAAAAGATTGAATATCTGACAAGTTGAGTTTGAGAAGGGTATTCATCCATTAAGGTTCTGTACATGTTAATGGGTTAAAAAATCACATATCTCCTACAGAGACAGATGAAACCTGTCAAGACCACCAAAAATTTAATGATAATGGGTTTGTTCCTTTCTATCCACAAGATGTAAATTTAATTTTGAACATTGTATGCGGCTCCGCCATCTAATAAATGGTAAGCAGAATCATTTTTCCTTTTTACTAAGTGTCTATCTTTTTAAGTTTTAGCTCTCATGTCCTAATAAGGTTTGGACTTGTTTACTTTTGCTCCAGGTGAAAATGCTTAAGGTAATTGAAGTTTTTTTATTGCTTTTGTTTTGTGCCATTGCTTCAGTGCATGAAGGGGACAGTACTGGAATTTCTTAACTATGGAAAAGAGGGCAAAGTTTTGGCATATTGGCATGACAACTTGTTGAGGTACCATCTAAACATGAGTTATGTACTGCTAAACAAAGAAGATTGTTAGTTTATTACTTGTAATTTGCTTCTAAAATTTACATAAACAGAGATGTATGTGTAATTGTTAGAGTTAATGAAACCTGACTCTATGGCAAAGAAGGTTCTTCTAGACCACTATTCATATGTTAGTTGGTGCTCTCCTCTTCGAGTCAGAACAGTCTTCTTTCACTGAAGCCTACAGCTTCATATAAAATGATGAAACCATAAAAATACTTCTGGATCCCATGTCCAAGTCCTATCAAAATTTCATTAGGCTTAGGAAGATTAGAAAGCAGCAGCCTCAAAAACAAGGAACTAGAGAATCATCTATCAATCATTAAGTAGAACCTGAACTCTAGGCTTTAAACAACTGCTTGGAGACTTTCTTCATTGCAATTCTTGACGAGGAACAGCTCTATTACAAGTCTCTTGTTGCAGCAAGGATTATACAAGAATTGCATCTGTATGCCACTGTTCAATTTGCATTTTATTCCATTGATGGAGGGATAGAATTTTCTACTCCTTTCGATAGAGCTCATCCATATGATTGATTCACCATTTATTTTGTAATCACCATTAAAGTGTAGCTACTTCTATTTATCTCTTACTTTTTTGGCATCGACTTGGTTATTGGCTCTATTGTTGAAATTATTGTCCCACCATATCCTTGACATAAATAAAAACCACATTGATAAGCTCCTGGACGGGACTCCTTCCGTTCTCTTAATTATTTGAAGAACAAATAAAGATGGAAAAGAGAAGGGGGGGGGATCTCAACTCCCTGATCTGTTCTCATTTGAGCTTATTTATAGCTTTCTTGCATCAGGACTCATTCACACCAAATGCATGCACAGTCAATAACTAACAATTGATTGGGTAGCGTGGCTTCTTTATGTAGACTTATTTAATAAGAGGCTTGAAGAGATTGACTGCTCTTGGGCTCTCATCCCAACTTGCTCGAACTGCTAGGAATGGGCTTGGGCCATCTTCTCTTGGGCTGCTTCTCCTTTTAGACCTTGGTCCTTGTATTGTTTCACCCCCCTTAAGAACTTGTCTTCAAGGTTCGCATTGGGAAATTGGCTTTAAAGCTTCGAATAATCCTCGCAGGTGGAAGGCTACTCCAAGCAACTAGAGCATGCTTGATAGTCTTTTATCCCACCTTGATCTAGCGAATGCCTATCTGCTATGTCTCTACAAGAAGTTCTTCATCATCTAAAAATTTTCTAGGTAGTGTTGGGTAGGTTACTAGAGGAGGGCCCACACAAAGCTTTAGAAGAGAGACATGGAACATTAGGTGCAATTTTGAAGGAGGAAGGTCTAGACAATAAGCCACCTGTCCAACTTGTTTCACCACACGAAATGGACTGGGCTGGCTTCTGCCAAGCTCATTGAGGTAGTGATGACTGCTGATATGGTTGCAACTTGAGATATACCAGATCTTCGACATTAAATGTCTGCATTTTTGGTCTCATATATTGCCTTCATTCTTTGTTGGGCCCTATGTAAATGCATCTTGAGAGATTTCAGTAGAAAGCATAAATAAAGAAAAATAAGAGAAGTAAGAATAAAAAGATAGTAGAAAATTCTTGGAGAAGAAGAGGAAGAAGAAAGAAGTTGGGAGAAGAAAGGGGTGCCAAAAAGTGTTCTGACCACCCCACACATTAATATTTACATTAAAAGCTAAAGATGTGTACAATGACAATAATGCCCCCACTAAGGCAGCTGTAACTAGAACCACTAAAAATAAGTTGAAAAAAGGTGTTGTCCCAACAATAGATAATAATAAGAAGAAACATAACAAAACATAAGCTGTCAACAATTTCAATATGGTATCTCTTGTAGACAATTGGGTGCCCACTTCTGCCCCTGCTGACAATCCTTTTTCACAAGGTAGGATGCCTGGCAGTTCCATCCCATATAAGACAGTAAACGGTGTTGTGCCGGTTGACACCTGAAAGGAGGTGTTGTACCATATTCAGCCCACGATAGCCACTAGGCTCACTACTTGGGCTTTTCTCTAATCAAACATCTCAAATATGCTTCTAGTCAGTTCACTACTTCCGATTGTCCATCCATCTGTGGTTGGTAACTAGTAGTGTGCAATAGATCCACTCCTTGTGCTTTAAAGTAGGCTTCCCAAAAATGACTCACGAAAAGATCCCTGTTGGTCAAAATAGTGTTGGATGTGCCATGAAGCTTGGCTATCTCTTGAATGTAAGCACATGCCACCAACAGAGCTGTAAAGGGGGATGGAGAAGAGCAATAAAATAAGCATACTTGCTCAACCAATCCACCACCACCAACACTATGGGATTACCAGCCGATTTGAGCAGCCTGGTGATAAATAAAGTTCATGGTGATGTTATCCCGCACCTTTTTAGGAATTGGCAAGGGTTGCAACAATCCAGCTGGAACACTGAGTACTATACTTGTATTGTTGGCAAACATGACATTGAGCCACATAGTCCCAAACTATCTTCTTCATCCCTTTCCAATAGTAGTGTTGGGCTTGCTGTCTATAGGTGAGAACACTGGAATACCATGGAAGAGCTTCAATAACTCCTTATGGTAATCAGATTTGCTGGCTACTACCAAACAACCCTTTTGGGATAAGGTGGAGTCAACTACAACATATCCTGGATTTGTTGTAGGGTCTTTGGTGCATTGTGCTTGAATATGGGCCAAACCAAGATCTTGTTGGGCTTCAAGCTTCAGCTTATCTAGCAAAGGGTATTGAAGCCAAGACACACCCATCATATACAACTCATTCTGTGAAAGGGCACTTGCTACAACATTGGAGGGCCCGTGCTTGTACTCTATTTTAAAGCCATAACCAAGTAATTTGGAGGCTCACCTTTGTTGCTTCGGGCTCGAGATTCTTTGCTCCAATAAATGTTTAATGCTCCAATGATCCCTAAATACTACGAATGTGTTACCCAAAAGATAGGCCCACCACTTTTGGATGGCAAGCACGATGGCCATTAATCCCTTTTCATAGGTCGACTTTAATTGAGTTGTTATGTCAATGCTTTGCTGAAATAGGCCAATGGCGATCATTGTTGCATCAGGACTACCCTAATCCTTTTCCCGTATGCATTAGTTTCCACTATGAACTCCTTGGAAAATGTTGGTAATACTAGAGTGAGCGGGGATAGAGGTGTAAAACAGACCCTTCCTGCTGCCCACGCAAAGTGCGGGTTGTGTTGTGCTGGCCCGCGGGCCGTGCTGCCCTCCCTAGGGATAATTTGGGGGGTCAGCCTGGCACGGCCCACGACCCAAGTATGTGCGGGCCTAGGCCGTACCATGGGCCTGGGCCACAGGCCGTATCGTGGGCCTAGACCGGGCCAGACGAGACCGGATCTGCTCCTCACATAGAGCGCCTCACACGGGCCTCACATGCACATCTTACCATGCATTGGGAACATCTCCCACACTTATAAATTATTATTCACGGGAGATGTTCCCAATGCACGGTGGATGTGCATGTGAGGCGCCCAAGTGTGAGGAGCAAATCCCGTTCTGGGCCAGACTGTTCTTTTTTTTTTGTTTTTGACATTTTTTATTTTTATTTCTTTGCTAAGTAAAACTAAAATATTTAACTTTCCTTTGGGAACTATTTGAAAAAATAAGAAATCTAATAAAGAAATGAAAAAAATACTTAACCAAATAAGAAGTCAAAGAGACAAAGACTCAAAAGTGAATAACAAATTGGAAGAAAAATAGGAATTTATTTCATTTAAATTTGAATGATACAAAGCATACAATGGTTGGATGAATGAAATAAATTAATAAAAGATAAAAGATACAATATAGTTACAAATTGAAAATAAAAAATTACGTTATTAAAAAAATATCAAATAAATTAAATAAAATTAAAATAAAGTTTACAATAATTTGAAAAAATGCTATACAACTATTGAGTAAACAAAAAATATTGACTTCATCATTTTCTCCTATTTGCTCTTGACTTTGATCATTTGCTTTAGGTGAAACATCAGGTGTAGTGTCATGCCCTCTTTTGTCTTGTAATCCATCTTCAACATCCAACCAATCTTTAAAACAGATGCACATCTCTAGACTTTCATCATTCGTACAACTCTTGTCGTCTGGTACCCTAGTACCTACACTAAAACAAGACTCCGATGGAATTGTAGACACCAGAGGGGTTAGTAGATCACATGCTATGATGGCGAGAACTGGATAATTTTTTGCATGTTCACTCCAGGCCAAAATATCAAGATTATTTGTTCCCTCCAAAGTGAATGAAGAATCACCTAAAGTAGAAAAAATTGCTTGTAAATAAAAATTAAGTTCAGTAAATGAACTTGTTGCATGCTATGGTGGCGAGAACTGGATAATTTTTTGCATGTTCACTCCAAGCCAAAATATCAAGATTATTTGTTACCTCCAAAGTGAACGAAGAATCACCTAAAGTAGAAAAAATTGCTTGTAAATAAAAATTAAGTTCAGTAAATGAACTTGTTGACGTGGCAGTGGATTTCTACCTCTTATTAAATAAAAAAGTTTTTCTCTTCCACTACTGGACTCAAGTTTAGAAGTGGAAGATGTAGATATACAAGTTGTAGAATTTTTATTATTCTCTGTTACTTCAAATTCATATAAACTATACATTTCAAATAATAAACTATTAATTTCTTTTTTTTTATTTCCAATTTCAATATTCATATTTTCACAATATGTTTCAAGTAAAATATCTAAACCATCTTTCCTACTCCTAGGATCTAATATTGTAGCTAAGCAATAACGAGTTGAAATGTTTTTCCAATATTTTTTTAAATTTATTTTCCATTATATCAATAATACATTTAAATTGTGGATTCTTTCTATATTTTGCAAAACAATCACCAATCATCATTAATCAATAAGCTAAATTACAACTAGTTGGATGATAAATACCTGATAATTCATTAGTTGCATCATAAAAATGTTTTAAAAAATCTCTTATACAAATTGCCATT